ATTAAAGGCGTGCACCACCACAGCCTGGCTTTCTCCTGTGTTTTTATGTCCTGTTCCCTGGAAGGACAGGGCATAGGTGGAGACATGTCACGCTTCTCCTTCCTCCCCCAGCAGAGGAAGAATGAGTGTCACCCACCAAGGGTGAAGACGCTGAGGATGCAGCTATTGAGATGAGGCTTCTGAACCTGCTCCATGACCCATAGGCAGGCAAGGAGCTAGAGTGTCTTCTCACTAGACCGGGAGTTCCTGGAGACCTGGGACTGCCTTGGTCATCAGCATCTCTAGCACCTGGGGCAACACAGGCCCCGGCTGGCACTGGGTGAAAACCCGCTGGCTCTCCTCCATAAACGTAACCTCCAAGGCTGGTGGGAGGAGGAGACAGAACGATGGAGCCTTGCTTTGGGCTTTCCTCTTCTCCCCTTGGTACTGCTCGCCAATGACCCGTCCCTACTCCTTGCTCCCCTAAGAACCTGAACGGGGCTTTATTAAGAGACCAGTAGGGCTCCTTACAGGTGTCCAAGGAGCTAATGTCATCGTTGAATGCGTGGCCACGGATGATTCACGGGAATCATTCCCGGGCTCTCCCCACCCACCGGATATTCTAAGTTCAAAGGAGCAGCCTTCACTAGCCAACCAAGTAATTCTCCGAGCAAAGATAATTCTAGAAACTAGTTATATGTAACATATGATTCTTAGCACATAATGGATTCTAAACATTCACATTCAGTGAAATGGACTAAGTCGAGTGTGAAGTGTGACATATGAACTGATTTTCCATTAAGGACGCAAGCAGAACTGGATGGAAAAACAGATTTATGCTAGGGAGGAGGGGTCTCTCCTGGGGGGTGGGGGGCGGGGCAAGGTGCTCTCAGGAGAAAGGGGTGTGTGCGGCAGGCCTCCATATCAAAATCACCCACTTCACATTCCACGTTTATGAAAGGGAAATATCGAGATATTCTCTGAAAATAGGTCTCTTTTTCTTTCCTTCCTTAGTGGGACTTGACTAAGCACCTATCAGTCACTCTAAACAGTCCGTGGTGAAGATATCAGAATATCTGAGGAATTCCCCACAAAGGCTGAAAATAAGAGCCCTGAGGTCAAGTGTCTGCCTCAAAATCCTGCAGCTACCATCCACTGGTTGTATGACCTTGGGCAAGGTTACTCTTCCCAGCCTGAGGCCTGCTTGTCTCCAAAATGGCGATAATGAGCGATTCAAGTGTTTATCAACAGGTTAATACACTGTGGTATATCCATATAATGGATCATCACTCATCAATAAAACGAAGACACTAACGATACACGCAGCAACCTGGATCGACGGCGTTGGAATCATAATGAGGAGAAACGCCAGGCACGCTTATGCTTCTATTTACGTAAACTGGGATAAGATGTGCGTACTCATGCTTTCATTTAGTCTAGGAAATGAAATTATTTTATCGTGGAAAAAAGCACCAATAGTTGAGGCCAGAGGCAGAGGAGGGATGCGCTGGGGTGGGGGTGGGGGATGGAGGTTTCACAGGACATGGATGTCAGCCCAACTCACACTGCTTACTGTAAGTGGCTAAGGCTTTCCGTGCTTAAACACACTCAGTAAAGCTGATGTAAAAACCTTCGCCCCGGGGAGATGGGGACCAGGAAAGTGCCTGCAGCGCAGCGAGAGCATCAGGACCTGAGTTAAGATCCTAGGAACCCAGATCAAAGGCTAAGTAAGCATGGTGGTGTGTGCCCAACACTCCAGGAGCGCAGGGCAGGGGCAACAGGCAGATCCCCGGAGCTCACGGGTTAGCCTCGTCAAACTGATGAACTCCAGGTGCAGTGAGAGACCCTATTTAAAAAAAAAAAAAAAAAAAGTGGAGCCGGGCGGTGGTGGCGCACGCCTTTAATCCCAGCACTCGGGAGGCAGAACTCTATGAGTTCGAGGCCAGCCTGGGCTACAGAGTGAGTTCCAGGAAAGGCACAAAGCTATACAGAGAAACTCTGTCTCAAAAAACCAAATAATAATAATAATAATAATAATAATGGTGGAAAGTGATCTAGAAGTGACATCCTATCAGCCTCCCACCTTTACATGAATGTGTACACACACACACACACACACACACACACACACACACACACACACACACACGTATGCACTCATGCACACACGCACTTATGCACACATGCACTTATGCACACATACACATACACAGCTTGCTATAGACTGTTGATTGTTCTTGAGAGTCACACGGCACAGTATGTAAAACACAAGCCAAATGTGGTATCATATCCCTATTATCCCAGACAAGACAATGCCAAGCACCTAGCTTGGTGGCTGGAACAAGGTGAATGTTCAGTAGTAAATGGTGATGGTTAACACTGGTGGACAACTGAGGCACAAGAGCTGATTCTCTTGGGAGTCGGAAGGGCGGTCTCTCTGAGTCCTGCTACACGATATAATACCCTCTAAGCCTCAATTGCTTAATGCGTTAAAGGGCAGGTTTGCTCAAGATGGCCTAAGGAGCCCCTCCAAGCCACAGCATCGTGACTCTAAAGCAGTGGCCTTGTGGCAACCAGTACAGCCTCTGGCCCCACACATTCACGTGCAGCAAGTGCAGCATTTGCAAACATTGGCTGTGACATTTTATAGCTACTCCTTGAAATGTAGCATTTTCCACAGTGAAAAAAGTGAAGAGAGCGGGGTTTCAGAAGCCCTTCGGAGGAGGGCGCTGGAAGGCGGCTTGAGGCCGAGTGGGAAACAGCCTGGAGACACCCGGTGAGCAAGCGCCAGTGGATCATGGATTACATTGTTTTCTTGTTATTTCCATTTGGAAGTTTCTGCCAACGAGCTCTAGAAATCATGTTTCCTGCACTAAATGTTTCTTACATAAAGCCCAAGTTTCTTGGTGTTACAAACAAATACACAAGCAACTGGAGACTGAAGTTATTCAAAACATGACCCTCGGGACATGACTTGCCATATGCTCAGTCCTAGCCACCATTCCAGACTGGTCAGATCCTAACACTGCAGATACCCCCCCCCACCTCCATCCCCCCCCCTACCCCCACTCCCGTCACCATCTTCTAGTTCAAGGCCTCAGAGGTCTTCAGCCACAGGGTGTGAGGTGAGCCAGCCCCGGGACTCCTGGGAAACCAGAAGAGGTTCGACTACACCCAGACAGGGAATCAGGACCTTGATGAGTGACCTTAGCGGAAACACGTTAGGTCGTATACATAGCAGGCCCCAAAATGGCAGTCCTGCTGATGGTGGCCTTAGATGGCGGCCTCATCCAACACAGGCTGAATTCTTACTGGGTAAACAGAAACCTGAAATCAGCATCCCTTGGGAATCTTATGATTTGGAGTTTCTGTTTGTCAGGAAGGCCACTACACTTCCCTTCAAATGCCAGGGGCAAAATAGACTTGGTTCTGGATAAGCAGCTTGTGACACCCACCCTGCTGACTAATGGATCAAAGCCGGGCCTTCCCATGAATTGCTGTTCTCTGATTCTGTGGGACAGCCTGGCAGTTTGTCCCCCGGTAAGCTGTTTTCTACCCACAGACTGGCCTTGTTTGGTGATTTCGCTGCACTCACTCACAAGATGCCTTAGACTAATCCACGGCCACGTGGGCCACCCTCAGCCGCGGAGAGCTACAAACGCAGCCCAACATGAAACTGTAAACTTACTTAAGATATTGTACTTTTTTTTTTTTTTTTTTTGGTTTTTCGAGACAGGGTTTCTCTGTGTAGCTTTAGCGCCTTTCCTGGAACTCACTTGGTAGTCCAGGCTGGCCTTGAACTCACAGAGATCCGCCTGCCTCTGCCTCCCGAGTGCTGGGATTAAAGGCGTGCGCCACCACCGCCCGGCAGATATTGTACTTTTTAAAATGCAATTTTCTTTTCTTTTCTTTCTTTCTTTCTCTCTCTCTCTCTCTCTCTCTCTCTCTCTCTCTCTCTCTCTCTTTTTTTTTTTTTTTTGGTAACTTGATTGTGTGGTTCTCGAGCGTGAACTTTACAGTCGACAACATTTTGTCTTGATGGCAAAAAGTTGGACACAGCTTAGGGCTAGCTCCAGACAGCTCTCAAGAGGGACAACCTGACCATCAAAGATACATCACCTGCCAGCAACCAGATCAGCCTTTGAAGGGGGACCAATAGATCCAGGATCAATATGTTCACATCCAGAGTGTCCCATATCCAATCCAACTACTAATCAGTAAGGGAGCGAGATGTGTGGGTGGGTGGGTGGGGGGGAACACCTCTTGCAGAAGGAAAATGAGGCAACAGAAACAGATTCAGAAGAGACTACAATGATAGAATGAGCAGCCCAAGTACTTAAAATGGTTACTACACACTACTATAGCAAGAGAATACATGTGCATGTGCGTGCACGCACACGGACATGCACACACACCACCCACCCTCATGCGCACACATAAAAAGAAAGACATGAGCGAGACCAGAGGTAAATGGAAGATTTGTTTTAAAGAAGAATTGGGGCTGGGGAAAAGACTCAGCTCGCGGGGGAGGGGCGTCTGCCCCGAAGGGCATGAAGGCCTTGGCTTTGAATTTCCAACAGCCATGTAGAAAGTGGGTAGGCTGCGCAAGTCTGTAACCCCAGTAAAGCTGACCGACACACTGCCGCGGAGTTCTGAAGGACCAACGAGGGAGTGGGTAAGCAGTAAGTAAGTGGGTAATGGCAGGAGCCTTAGCAAAGCAGAGATGTGAGCAGCAGTCTGGGATTTTAAGCCTGCAGCCAAGGACTCCCTGAGGGCTCCCAGGTCTCCTGGCCTGAGGGCTCCCAGGTCTCCTGGCCACGCGCGCGCTCTGACTTCCTCTAAGGAGCTCACCTTCTCCGTCATCTGATCGAGTCAGGCTGTGCTGTCTCAGGCGGCCGCTGTCGGTGGGAAACAGAACAGGAGAGTTTCAAACACAGATAGCAAGGACTAGAGCCGGCAGGGGTCCTGGCTAGTTCTATGTCAACCTGACACAAGCTGGAGTCATCTGCAAGGCGGGACCCTCAACTGAGAAGGCTCCTCCATGAGACCCAGGGGTTAAGGCATCGTCTTACTTAGTAATCAATCTGCCCATCTGCGTTGTTACAGCGGAAAATCTGGGCTGGTACCCTGGCGCTTGGGACACGTAATCCTAAAAAGCCGGTGGTGACACAGTGACATGGCATCCGTGTCATCGGACCTTCAGGTGAGGAGGCCACAAGAAGCAAAGCTCTTACTTCACCATGCAGATCCTAACGCCAGGCCACAGCCGGACTCCACACCACCTGAATTCATTTTTGGAGACGTAGTTATTGTTTTTAATTGATGTGGATGACTACTCTGTCTGCACACTGTGTGGGCCTGGTTTCCATGGAGATGAGGTGAAGGAGTCTGGAGCCCCAGGGACCTGGAGCTAAGGACGGTTGTGAGCTGCCATGTGGGGGTTGGAAACCCACCCCCCGCGCTCTGCAAAGGCGCTCAGCTGCCGAGCCAGCCAGCTCTCCAGACCCTTCCATCTGTTTTTTTCAAGGCTGTGTTTAACACGGGCCGGAGGGACAATGACTGCCAAGGCCGCACTGCTGGCCCCACTCACTACAGGACACACAAGAACGGGAACTTACTCTTCCATTTCTTCGGAAAGTTTCTTTCCCAATCTGAAAAGAGAGAGAAAGAGACGGTTTAAGACAACCCATGAGTCTCACACACTGGAGCATGTCTGGGGAGAGGCTCAGGCAGGCACAAGTCAGAATATTCCAAATGCTTTCGTGTAGCCACTGTAAGGCCGTGGCGTTGGTGTGTGTGTGTGTGTGTGTGTGTGTGTGTGTGTGTGTGTGTGTGTGTGTGTGTACCACCAGGTATGCGTGTATTTAGTAGATAGGCAGAGGTTGGATCAGATGTATTCCTGGGTGACCTTCCACCTTCCCTCTCCCTCCTCACTCTCTCTGGAGACAGGATCGGCCTGGAATTTTCTGTGTAAACCAGGCTGGCCTGGACCTCACAGAAACCCCCTTGCCTTGCATCTGCCTTCTGAATGCTGGGATTAAAGGCCCATACCACCACGCCCTGCCACCATATATTTTGAGACAGGGTTTCTCTCACTGAAGCTGGTCCTCACTGATTGGCTAGACTGGTTGGCCAGCAGCCTCTGGACCCCTGCTCAATGTCAGGGTGACAGATGTACATGACCACATCACTTGTTTTATGTGGATGCTGGGGATCAGATGTCAGATCCTCATGACCACGTAGCAGGTTACTTTACTGCCTGGGCCATATTCCCAGTCTCCTGTAAGGCCTTCTTAAAGCCTTGGCTCAGTACAACTCCAGATGAGATTGCTGGGTTTGACTGTTGGTAGAGCAAGAAGCTGAAAACTGATGCAGACAATGCCTCTCTTAACAGCTGGCCGACCCACTGAGAGCTTTCTCTTTTCAATGACTAAGGCTCTGGTGTAGTTGGTGCTGTTCCTGACCAGCTTGGGTACTCCACAGGAGCCAAGGGGGTGTACTGACTCCGCTGTTCAGCAAACCGTCTTCTATCTCATCAGCATGAAGGACTGGCATTGGGTGGAATCTGTACCTGGGCGATACCCAGGCCTTTACCTAAGGTAGGAATTCTCACATGTCAGTGACATGAGATCCACTGGGAAGCCTGTTAGACATGCAGACTGCCTTGCCCAGCATGGAGAGATTTCGGAATTGGCTGATATGGGGATGGGGAAACCAGGACTACATACTGTTGTTGTTATTTATGGTATTATTTATTTGTTTGTTTGTTTGTTTGTTTAGGTTTTTTGAGACAGGGTTTCTCTGTGTAGCTTTGGTGCCTGTCCTGGATCTCACTCTGCAGACCAGGCTGGCCTTGAACTCACAGAGATCTGCCTGGCTCTGCCTCCTGAGTGCTGGGATTAAAAGGCGTGCGCCACCACTGGTATTATGGTATTATTTTTATTGCTATTATTATGTGGTATTATTAATAACAGCTTGTGTTCTTGGGAACAGAAGTGAGGTCTTACACATGCTAGATGAGCACTCTCCTCCTGAACTACATCCTCAATCTGGGACGATGGATTTTAAACAGAATTCCAAGTGATTCTAACCTAAGAAAGTTACCACAAACACTGTGACTGGCAACTGTGGATGGTGTTTAAAGACGGCTTTGGGTACATGGTGATTTCATTTCTCTAGGTCTGGAAATCCCCACAATGAGACTTGCATTTTCTTTAAATAAAGTATTTTCAGTCTGAAATCTAGCACATGGCAGACGAGTTGGGGCCTGGTGGCAGTGTCATACAGCTAGAAGCAGAGGGCATGACATTCCCACCCTTGTCCATGCAGAGCCAAAAACATCACCAGGAAGAGTTTCCTTGAGGCCAACTACCATCCCTGTAAGATGTAAATACCTCCCCCAGCTACTGACCATAAATTCATTTTTTATCAATTAAGAAATAAAAAATAAAAATATAGTCTAAGTTTAAATAAATGACTCTCAACTACACTGTTTCTTTTTCATTTTTTATGTGTTTGTATGGGTGTTTTGCCTACATGCGTGCTTATTTAACAAGTGAATGCCTGGTGTCCACAGAAGCCAGAGAAGAATGTTGGAATCCCTGGAACTGAAGTTACAGACAGTTGTGAGCTGCCATGTGGGTGCTGGGAATTGAACTCAGGTCCTCTGGAAGAGCAGCCAGTGCTCTTAACCACTGAGCCATCTCTTCAGCCCTCTACATTGTCTTGTTGTTTTTAATTTCTTTTAACTTCACATGTATGAGTGTTTTTAATGCACATATGTATGCGTACCATGTGTGTGCCTGAAGAGGACACCTCATTCCCTGGAACTAGAGTTAGACAGTTGTGAGCTGCCGTGTGGTGTTGAAAACTAAACCCAGGTCCCTTGCAAGAGCAGTGATCACAGTGACCGCTCTTAACCGCTGAGCCATCTCTCCAGGCCCACTCACTCCCAGCACTGCTTTTAAAAGTCAGGAGAGAAAGGAGAACAGGCAGGTGAAGCTGGAAGAAAAGGAGAGCTACTCAAAGACTTGGATCCTGAATGTTCCCTAAAGGCTCATGCGCCATAAACCCAGTCCCGGCCTGGCCTGTGGTGCTGTTATTGAGCGGTGGATCCTTCGGGAGGCGGGGCCTGGTGGAAGGAAGTTAGGTTGCTGGGTTGTACTCTTTTTTTTTTTTTTTTTTTTTTTTGGTTTTTCGAGACAGGGTTTCTCTGTGTAGCTTTGCACCTTTCCTGGAGCTCACTTGGTAGCCCAGGCTGGCCTCGAACTCACAGAGATCCGCCTGGCTCTGCCTCCCGAGTGCTGGGATTAAAGGCATGCGCCACCACCGCCCGGCCAACTGGGTTGTACTCTTAAAGGAGCTATTGAGACCCTGTTTCATTCTTCACTCTTTCTTTTGCCCTCCCGGGTACTATGAGGCGAACAATTCCTCCAACCACGTGCTCCTACACAACGGACAGGCCCACAAGAACAGGGCCACACAACTCTGCACTTAACACCACTGAAACCGTGTGCCAAAAGAGACCTTTCTTCCGGTGTAAGTTGATTTCCTCAGCTGGTCTGCTCCAGCAACAGGAAGCTGACTAAACACAATCTCTGCAGGGGTTGACTCAGTGGCTACAGTTAGCATGGCCGAGCAGTGAGGGTACAAAAGTGAAAGACAGAAGGTGAGGTGGAGGAGGGCGTCCAAGGTCAACCATGCACCTCCCCGGGGCTGCTCAACCCAAGGAGTTCCAAGTCAAAGAACTACGTAGAGAACACTACTGGTTGCCAGGGCCCCTTTCTGCTGGGGAGGATGGCAGGCCCCTGTCCTTGTTCCCATTGCTCCCTTGGACTATGCTTCTAACTCTTCTCTGAAGCTGACCTTTGTCAACTCACTGTCCAGAGGACTCGGCCCCCACGTCACCAGCAGTGGGAAGATGAGACCAGGTCATGGGAGAATGGGACCAGAGCTGCATGGAGACGGGGTCAGGGTCTTCACTTTGTGCACAGGATGTATATACTCACCCTGAGGTCAACAGTCTCCCCACCACGTGCTCCCACCATGAGGTACCGCACTACCTCAGGTCCAAAGCAACAGTGCCGCACAACCAATTGAAACTGGAAGAGCGGGGAGACCTGTGTCAGGCTCCGCATCACCCGCAAGGGTGCTCACACCAAAGGCCTGGTTGTCCCCTCATGTTACTATTGTGATTTCTAAGGTGCCATGGCAAAAGCAGGGGAATTCTGCCAAGAGTAGACAATGATGGCGGTGGCAATCTCTGGGGAGGCTGATTAATGGCAGTTTATCCATTCAGTGTCCAAAAGGCAGGTGAGTTCAAGATTCAACTCAACTGCTATGGAGCCCGCATTCCATTCTCTCTCCCTCTAGGGGAAGTCCGAGGACATTCTTGACCATTTCGATTCTCTCTTGGAGACAGGAGACAGATTGGAAGATGTCCCGGGAAGGGATGCACTCAGGTCTCTGGAACACCACTGGGAGCCCCGCCTTTGCCCTGCCTCACACAGAAGGAAACTGGCCATTCCTGGGCTTTCTCTAGAGCAGCAGTTTTCAACCTATGGATTGAGAACCCCCAAACGACCCTTTCACAGGGGTCACCTAAGATCATCTGAAAACACAGATATTTACATTACCATTCATAACAGTAGCAAAATCACAGTTATGAAGTAGCAACAAGATAATTTTATGGTTGGGGGGGGTCACCACAACATGAGGAACTGTATTAAAGGATCACAGCACTAGGCAGGTTGAAGACCCCTGGTCTAAAGTGTAGGTGAATCAATTGGGTTGGTATCACACTGCTGTTTATTCTTTTAACAAATGCTCCTCCTTCTGGATGACTGCAATAAAAAGCCTGGTAACGACCCAACCTTGGGGACAGAAGCCAGACCACCCTGGGCTCCCTCCTACAAGGCCAGAGGCCGTTCTGAGTCAGAGGAGCCCGGGGACAGAAGGACGTCCTACAGCCTCGGCGGGAAGGACAGTCTAGACCTGGTGTATGGTTCTCTGTGGAAAGATGAATGTGCACACGTGTGTGCCCCCGGGGATCCGGTATGGAGTACAGCTCTGTCTCACAGATCTGCTACACTCGTCTGATCCCCAAAGGCATCTCAGGAGGCACTGAGCCACACACACAACGGTTTTCGGTGCCTTCCAAAGACATCGGTGTCTGTGTCACAGTGTTACTGCAGGTGTCCGCAGTGACCACTGACACTCAGGGACACCAGGCACTGTGGCCATGGGCCTCACCCTCGACACAGAGCTAGCCAGGATGAGCCTGACACTAGACATCTTTCATCCTAGGTTGCGGGCACACCGCCCCGGCTGCCATGCCAGCATCCCCAGGGCACCCACACAGCTGTTGGATTCCTGTACACACAGTTCTTCTAATTCCCCTACCTATGCACAGAACTGAACGCTGCGGAGAACCCTCCAAACAGGCAGCTCTTAACCATGGGACGCGACAGAATCACATGCCAAACTTTTTCAGTGGGGATGCGCTAGCTCCCCGCCCCCTGGCCCCCGCTCCCCGCTCCAGTATTGATTTGTAGAAACAGGTCCCAGTCATGGCTATGAGAGTTGCATCCCTAGCTGCATTCCAGACAGGAGGCTGGACTCCCTAGCTGCTGCTCAGCAAAGCAGACACCTG